TAATAGCAGAATAATGAGAGAGATATTTTTTGAGAAATTGTTATAACTTTTTTTGAAAGTCAAGTTTACATACAATAAGATGCCTCTGAAAAAGCTCAGATGATGGTGTCAAGGTTTTGGAAGTTTCTGATTGGCTAATTGACAACATTGAGTTAATTGGAGGCACAACTGTAGAATATTATTTAAGGAAAACCTCAAACACACTGCATCCTTTTGTGACAAAAAGGGAAAATTAAAAAGCCAGAATCGACAAATAAAGCCAGATTAGAATTCGCTAAATTACACTGGGAAAAAGAATAATTTTTGGAGACATGTCCTGTGATCTGATGAAATTAGGATTTAACTGTTTGGCTTACAAGCACCATCCCAACTGTGAAGTATGGGGTGTTGGGGTGGGGGTAGCATCATGTTGTGGGGCTGTTTTGCAGCAGGAGGGACTGGTCCACTTCACAACATAGATGGCATCATGTAGAAAGAACATTGTGTAGAAATACTGAAGCAACATGGCCAGGAAATTAAAACTTGCCCACAAATGGGTCTTCCAAACAGACCATGACCCTAAGCATTCTGCCAAATTAGTTAAAATGTGCTTTAAGGACAAAAGAGTGAATGTTTTGGAGTGGCCATCACAACGCCTTGATCTCAATCCTATAGAAAATTTGTGGGCAGAGTTGAAAAAGCTTGTGCGAGCAAGACAGCCTACAAATCTGACTCAGTTACACCAATTCTGTCAGGAGGAATGGGCCAAAATTCTTTAAAACTACTGTAAGAAGCTTGTGGAAGGATACACAAAACATCTGACCATTCGAAGTAATACATTTTAAAAGCAAACCTAAAAAATACCAAGGAAATGTATGTAAACTTTTGATTGTCTAGAAAGTAATAAAAAGTTCTCCAAAAAAAATCTCTTATTGTTCTGGCATTTAGAAAATGTAAATTTGATTTAGGCAATCCTAACAGACCTAAAATAGCAAATGTTTAGTATAATTTAACACCAGACATTTTTTTGGAAAAAAAAAATGGTTGTTCCTTTTTTTAGAGTGTATGTAAACTTCTGGTTTCAACTGCATATGCATCTATTACTTCATTAATAAATAAATAAAAATAATGCAACGTATATTTTATTTAATGCCACGTCAGCAACCAAGGCTATTTTCATGGCAAAAATATTTCAATGTTAAATATACAATTAAACAAAACAAACAAAAGAATACGTACATTAAATAAGATTTTTAAATGAAAATATAAACTCTTGTTTATCACAGCTTAAAGATTTAGTGAGTATCAATGAAAGGTGATAATTTGCTGATACTGACCTCTGGCCGATTGGAGAATCCCTACAAAGAATCTATGTTCTTGTTAAATAAACTCCTTGAACAAAAATAAAATATAAAACAAAAATATTGAGAGTATCAAGTTTTTTTTTCTTTTCTATGCTGGTGCTCATCACTTTTCTCTAAGAAACAAGAATCATCTACAGAGTTGAGGACTTAATCCAAAAATAATAGTGTGCCTCTGCAGAGTTCTGCCAAGAAAAAGCCAGAGTACAACATGAGATGAAGCATCTTTTAAAGGTACATTTTTCAGCATTGTCTTCTGTAAGAAGATTCAGAAGAATTAAATGTTTATCTAATGCACTGTTTCTCAACCATGTTCCTGAAGGACCACCAACACTGCATGTTTTGGAAGTCTCCTTTGTCTGTCACACCCATTACAGGCCTTTCAGTCTCTGCTAATGAGCTGATTATTTGAATCAGGTGTGTTTGGTTGAGACGACATGGATAATGTGCAGAGCTGGTGGTCCTCCAGGAACGTAGTTGAGAAACACTGATCTAATAGATACAAATATCCTATTGTTCCAAAGGCTTTAATGTTTTATCATTTTAATTAAGTTTTAACACATTTTTATTGACCCTGAACCATTTATTTTGTAATGTATTAAGTTTAAGTTTCTTTTAAATTTATTATCAAGGAAACTGGGTGTTTTTATTTTCCCATAGTTCCGTATTATATGGTTCTCGTGTTATGTTTGAATGCGTGTCATATGATGCTCTTGCTCTATCTTAATTCTTCCTTGTGGGATTAATAAAGTGGCTAAACTTAAACTTTGGCAAGCAATAGCTTCATTTAACCTTTAAAACTTTGCAGACCGTTTACATTCACAAACAGCAACAATGCATTTTTGTCCAGTTTATTTGACATTTTTAGTCCAGGTAGGTACCATAACACAGTTATAGAAACTAGCTCCTAGCCAAGGTCCCCTAAGAACTAATTTAACAATTTAGCTGGTTGCTTTAAAATTGTCAGCAGCAACTCTAAAGTTAAGTTAGCCAAAAGCCACGTCAATCAGCCTTTAACAAAAACAACAAATGGAGTTTGTGTTTTCGTTGTGTTGTAAAACTGGAGAAAAAAACTTAGAAAAATAAGTTATGCAATTGAAACTGCCAAATTGAGGACTAAATCACCCCTGTCTACTTGGAGTGCTACACATGACAGAGAACACAACTCCACACTCAAAGGAGATAAAAGACTGTAGCATATAGTCTTTGCTACATCCCTTTAAAATACTGTGCCAGCATTTTGTTGCACATGCTTTCACCCAATCATTGTCCAGTAAAGTCAGTGTGTTTCCTGTTGTGCTGGATTAGACCCTGCTTTGGAGTAGAGTTAATTTATTGGCTGTTTCCACTGAGCAATACAATTTGGTAAGATCCATTTCCACTGTCAAAGGTACCAAAAAGCCATACCATAGCACTTTTTGGAAAGCGTACCAAAACAGTGAAGCTAGACTCGCAGTTAAACGCAATTTATTTACCGAAAATAGTCACAAGCGTGTGCCACAAGCCAGTAGAAAGACAACACAAGAAGCTCCATTTTTAAATATACAGATGGGACATGACACTTCATGCATATAATGAGCCATGATTGACACAAACTCAAACAAACCTTGTGGTCTTCTTGTGACAAACAGTCACATGCTAAGAAGTTAAAACAGAAACTGATGTGTGTTCTCTATTGTTTACAAGGGCGTCTACAAGATGCCTTTGCTTTCTCTCTCTATTTTTGTGTGCTTACTGCGTGTCTAAATTTGAAATAATATAATAGAACCGCCAACTTATCCAGCAAGTTTTTAACGCAGCGGATGCCCTTCCAGCCGCAACCCATCTCTGGGAAACATCCACACACACATTCAGACACACTCATACACTACTGACAATTTAGCCTACCCAATTCACCTGTACCGCATGTCTTTGGACTGTGGGGGAAACCGGAGCACCCGGAGGAAACCCACGCAAAGGCAGGGGGAACATGCAAACTCCACACAGAAATGCCAACTGAGCCGAGGATCGAACCAGCGACCCAGCAACCTTCTTGCTGTGAGACGACAGCACTACCTACTGCGCGACTGCCTCGTTAATAACATTAAATAATAAAATAAAATATTAAACTGGAGTTCATGATAATAACCCGTGCATGGTTATTGAAGTGCTTTATATCCGTTTAGAAAACGATAAAGGCGAGAGTAAAGTGCGGAAAAACAAATGAACAAACGATTCTTTCAGCAACCTAAATTAAGTTAACAAGAGCTGGTAAAGAATAAACATACAGATGAGTGTAAACAGTTTTTCAATACAAACAAAGCCTTAATGCATGTTTTGCTATTTTTTCTATGATTGGTAACATTTTGGAGACTGTAAGGCTGTAATGTTCACACTACAAGTCTTAGTGCTCCAATCAGATTTTTTTTCCTCAGATCTGATTTTTTGCCTGGCTGTTCACACTGCTGTTAAAAATGTGGCCAATATCAGATTTGCAGTGTGAACAGATCATGGTCCTAAACTGACCCATATGCGCAAAAGTACAATTACGGACAGCCCAAAATGTCTAATTATGCACACAATGTGTTTATTAAGTAAACACATTGTCAGATTATGCTCATGTTATATGATTATTGCTCTTTTCACAGTAAACCATGGTGTATTTCATGAACTGTAAAAGATTGTTCTGCTACTACTAATGTGTATTTCGCTAATTGAAATCTAAAATAATAAAATCTAATCTAATAAGTCTTGTGATTTGACAAGTTGTGATTGAAAAAACTGATCACAGTTTAGGGAACTCATCAAGAGCTAATGAGCAGACGCAGACTGAACTGAGAGGGCAGAGTTGGTTTATCTCTGTTTGCAGAGTTCTTTCATTTTACTTTGTTAGACACAACAGACACGTGTAGAAGGGGGTTTGGCTGCTTGAGCACCTGCCCTTAAAAGCACCTGCCAGTTCCCCCTTAAAATGACAGTGCCCTTTCCATCCTTTGTGCACAGATCCTCTATTCCGCAACACCCACAACGCTCTTTAGCTTAACGATCAACCCATGCCCCAATCATTAACAAGCACCAGTTTTGCCTTCATTTTTTTTTTTTGAAGTAATTGCCATGTGCCATTCTACTATGCTGCTGAGGAGTGGATAATGTCTGCAGCACAGAGTGAAGATGCATGTCGTTCTGTACAAGTTACATAAAATACGACATAACCGTTCACACTGCGGTAGCTTTGCAAAACATCAGATCTGTGTCTGATTTAATTTGGGCCACATTTGGCTGCAGTGTGAACGTAGCCTAAGGGTCCGAATTTGTTACATACAGTGTTCAGGAAAGTTACTTTTGAAAATAATGCATTACAATATTGAGTTACTTCCCCAAAACATAACTAGTTGTATTACTTAGTTTTTATGGTAAGTAATGCGTTACGTTACTTTTAAGTTACGTTTGCTGAGGCTTGGCGCTGAGGTGACCTTCACATTCACTTTACTGAATCGCACCACTCAGTGAAATTGAGGCGTTAGTTCCCCAAAACAACAATCCTACAACTAAACTCGCTCCCAGTTCCGGCAATGTGACACAGCTAAAAACCAGACACTTTCGCTAACAGTTCTAGGAACGGTGAAAAAATCCCTCTGGTGTGACAGCCCCTATTATCAATTCCATGCAGAACCAGCTTACCTTGCCATCCTGGTTTGCAGAGGCAGCGTTTGGTGCTGTTGTGACACTGTCCTCGCAGAGGAAAGCCGCAGTCGGAGGAACAGTAGGGTACATCACAAGCCTCTCCTTTCCAGCCATCCTCACACACACACTGCACAGACTCGCTAGAGTTTCCCACACGACACTCTCCTCTATCAGAGCAGTTATTGGGACATGTATTCAACCTGGATGGAGGAAAAAAAAATGAAGGAAATCTCATGTCAGTATTGATGGACAACCACACCTAAATGAACCCCAATATTAAATCACTTAATGTGGTAAATAGAGTTGCATGACAGTGAAGAAAAATGTGATATGGTGTTAAATAACAATACATTCACACTGTATTTAAGTTGCATGAGCAATATTTATCTTTCATGTTCCAAAATATTATATACATATTTTTGTAAACACCTAAACTTTATTTCTGCGCAAATATTTCTGTATCACTGTGAAGAAATCATATAATTTAGCAACCATTTTGCATAAACTACACTGAAAAAAATTATTCAAAGATGATTTCTTGGATTTACTCAATTTTTTACGTTAAGTGGTTGTAAACAATTTATTTGTGTTGAATTTAAACATTATTAAACTTAATTTGTTTGTTTAAATTCAAGACAAATAAATTGTTTGCAACAGTTCTGCATGCAACACTTAAGCTTTTATTGACATGGCTAATATATTAATAACAGCACACATTGTGGCTAAATCGCATTCTAAAGCCTGGTTTATACTTCTGCATCGAGTGATCAGCGTAACCCACAGCGCATGCAATGCGCATAGCCATGCATTTATACTTCTGCATGCTGTTTCTGTTGCTCTGCAATAACACTTCCAAAACGCTAGCTGGCAGTAAGTGTTTATGTTCCTCTGTGTCAAGTTTCTTTGCTGGTGTTTTTTTTTTTTTTTTCTTCTGAATGATACCTTCATGTATCAGTAGCTAAACCTTGCTTATTCAGAGGTGGGAACTGGTGGATGCGCAACAACTTTGATCATCAGCTTGTAAACACTCGCTCCATCAGGCTCGCGCAGCTCTCACCCCCGACCCACACTCGTCAGTCTTACAAAGCTGACCAATCACAGAGCTTGTGCTACGCGTCGTTGCAACGTAGTTACATTTTTTGAAAGTTGTGCATCAGTATCGACAACAGTCACGGCGAGGGCTATGCGTCTACGTGTGCGCCTGACGCAGAAGTATAAATCAGCCTTTAAGGTGACCTGATAAATAAACAAATATTTATTTATATATTATTTTTTGAATTGTAAAACATTGATTCAAACAATGGAAATGTTTGTTGCAAAGGAAGCCATTTTTATTTACCATTTTAAAGTTATGTTTTAACAAATAAAGATTTATACAAAAACATTTTTTTTCCAAAATAGAATACATTTTTATTAATTGACTGCTGGATTGGCTGATTTAGTGATAAAGTTTGATGATATAAATCTATACTGTTATTATCGGCCTTTTTTAAAAATGTATTTCAAAGCTTTAAAAAAAAAAAGTTTTACACAGCTCAAATTATATCAAGAATTTTATTAGGCCTGTCTGTTTCAGCACAAGTTAAATGCTTTTAATCTGGAATAAACTAATAATATTTGCTTCCACTACCTGCTAATTCAGACTAACTCAATTATTTTAAACAAAAATGTCAATACTTACATTGCGAGCTTATTTAAAGCTTAAAATCTGCTATTCAGAAATGCATATCCCAATATGCTTAACCTCATTCTTCATGCTGATTAAGGGGGAATAACTTCAGTATAATCATTTTCTTTGCACCTACCACACCTAGCGCATGCCTTTTGTTGCACTGATTGCCAAGGCATTTACTTTTTCCAGTGCACATTGTACTCCCTAGACATGACATGCTGCCAATATTGTTTAGCAATTTCCCCAATAAAAAGCTGTCTGGTTACACAGTGGAAATTTAGTCTATGAAAGAAAACAAAATGTCCTTTTTTTAGAAGAGCTTATTCAGCTGCATGCAGAGTTATGTCACAGTGACCTGTCTAAAGAATTAGCCAACAACCTGCTTGTAAAGTTGTGATGTATTAATCATGTTGTTTCTGTGTAAAAAAAAAAAATAAACCCTCTAAATAGACATTTATGATCACAGTTTTAATAATAATCATAAAAATAAAAATAATTCATAATAATTCCTTACATTTTTATAGCACTTTTCTAGACACTCAAAGGTCTTTACACATTGGGAGGAATTCCTCATCCACCACCAGTGTGCAGCATCCATACTCTGGCACTTCTTCCAACCTGGCAAGGACTGGCCAACCGAACCCAACCTGGGCTCAATTCAGAGCACTCACACTTGTCAAATGAACCAGGAAATGTGGGCCAAACACGAGATCAGTATCGGTTAATAATGACTTAATCGGTACTCGCTGATGTGGCCAATTTCATGAACTGATTGCAAGTGTTTGTGTCTGCTGGAGATTTTAAATATTTGGAGATAAAATATTTGTATGATCCTGCACGTTGTTGGACATAAAAGACATAAAAGAACTGAAAGTTCCGTGTTTTTGACAATATTCCAAGTTCACTTATTGCAATAAATAGTAGTTTATAGACCTATTTCATTTTAGTAAAGTAGTAATGGTTTTATATGTTTACATTTTAACTTCTTATGAATCAAATGTGCACTCCAAACATTTTCTTGATTGAGACATGTTGAATTCTGCATCATTTGCAATGTTTCCAAATTGCATTGTTAGTCATTTTTCTTACCATTTTTTTTTAATTGGTGCTATTTATTACTTTCTTTAAAAGTTTCTTCTGACCATGACATGTTCACACCTAAATGGCTACGAGACTCGTTTAAGGGATTATATGCAGCATCCTTTATTTATTCTCCTAAGTAAAGAGAGATTTTCTCCTAAATACAATATCATACTTAGAGAGAAAATGTGCTTTAGGCAGTATAAAGCTAAAAGCCATGACAAGGAATCGGTACTTGGTATTGGCTGCAAACATCCAGATCGGAGAATCTCTACCTATCATCTGAAATGTAGATTTTTGAACAAGAAACAATATAAGATTAAGTAAAAACTTTTTTTTTTTGTCCTTGAATAAATTGTATAAATTCTGTATAAATAATTAAATACAATTAATCTGTATTACACCTTCACACATCATCATTTTTATTACCTAAATGTATTAAACTCCCTTGAAATGCTCATAGTCAGAGTCCTTAAAAACACATGCAAATGATAAACTTTCACTTGATTATAGTTAAACTTAGCAGTGACTCTACAAACCACTTGTTCTGTGGCTCCTGCTCAACTAAAATTCAGACTAAACATTGCATATCTTGGGCCATGAATATTGTGATGTGCACATTGCACTAACAATGCTGAAACGATATATTGTGCAGCCCTATTCGGCCTTATGTAAAAGCACTTGTGTTGTTGGTCGTAAATTATATGCATAGGTAATGCAGTTCGATTATCGATCCGATGTGTTAGTTAGTGTATGTGTAGGCTTAAAATAGCTCTTATGTCTAGTATTGTGTTTATATTTTTATTATGTTTATTTTTCTAGTACCATGGTCCTGCGAGACACAACATTTCTTTCCACTCCATATCCAAGCATGCAGCAGAATGACATTAAACTTAGTTAAAGGGCACCTAGGTTACCTTTTTTTTTCAGTTTTATTATGAATCTTTTGTGTCTCCAGAATGTGTCTGTAAAGTTTCAGCTAACAACACCCATCAGATTGTTTATTATAAGATTCTGATTTATAAATTTTTGCACCAGGTGGCGGTTTTGCTGTACCGCACCTTTAACGCTAGTTCTCCCCGCCCACTGTTTCTCCGTGCCTTCCTGCATGCCTTAATCTCCTCCCTCGGCTGCGTCAGACAATAAACAGACAAAGGAAGCAGATCTCACGTAGTATTTGTGAGAAATACTACAGTAAGAACTTTACCAATGAGAATTCGATGAATTTGCTGTGTTAAGTCACAACGATGAGTCACACACAATGTCGTTACAAAGTTCACGCACACACACACAGACATGCACACGCATACCCAGCATGGATACGATATGCACATACAAACAGACAGCGCGTTTAGCTTTGCACTCTTTTTGCACGCAAATGTGACAGGATACAGGTTAATCTCCACTGCTGTGTGGATATCTGTTATGTTAGTGTACAAAATAAACCTGATTTAACGTCCACAAACTGGGATTGAAGTGTCTTCATTTATAATTGTTCTGACATGGGGCTGTGCTGTAAATTGCTACTTCAGATTGCACTGTTTTAAAACATTTTAAACTTGTAAAACTTACTCTTGATCACATTTGATGATGATTGATGATCCTAGCAAACTGAACAGACTTTTTATTCCCGGTTGCTTTGCGCACGTCCTCTCTTGTTGATATGACAATACATGTGACTACCGGGACATGTTACGCAGCGGTCAATCAATTTGGTGGGCAGGGGGACCGCAATCCTTTGTCTAAGTTGCCGTCGGTCTGAAAATGACTCCAATTGGTCCACCGTTTTTATGTTGTTAAATTGAAAAAACAGGACTCTGTTTATATCGCCCCAATATGAATGCCTATACACTACACATATGTCTGTCCAAACAGCTTGAAAAGTAGATTTCTTTAAAGGTCCCTTGAAATTAAAATATAGTTTTTTAGATTTTAGTATCAGTATTAATAGTTTTTAAGATATCTAAAAGCTAGTGTGCTTCAAAGCAATGACAAAATTTGTGTTTAGAAGATATAAAACCGATACAAACATGTAAATCACTTCCGCTTAAATGGATCAAAGGTTTTATTCACGTCAACTCACACTTCAGTTTCTCTTCAAATCATAACCAATCAAATGCTCACAAGTATCTGACATGCCCCGCCCTCTTTAAAACACTTCTCATTTGATGTGCTTAAGCTCAACCACTCTTACTGGCAAAGCAGAGAAAACAAAACGTTGTTGGCCATTTTTTTTTTTTTTTTTTTTTTCCCACATTGGAGGAGCTACACTCCGTCCCACCCATTCTTCATGTTTCGGTTGAGATTACACCAATCATCGGAAAAAAAATGCACATTTCAAAGCACTTTACGGGACCTTTATAGCAAATCTTTTACAAAATCACACCGTGAACTCAGATTTAACAAGTGAATAACAAAGCTGATATAATCTAAATCTTTCAGTTCAAA